AAAGACAAGAAGGTTTTTCTGAGATGTGGGATGTTTTGAGAAAGAAGGAACTTATCTGGAAGCAGAAGTCAAGGAGTAAATGGGTGCATGAGGGAGATGCAAATACCCGTTTTTTTCATAGAGTTGCAAAAGGAAGAAGAGCACAAAACAATATTGCGGGATTAATGTGTGATGGAGCATGGATTGATGATCCAGATTTAGTAAAAAATGAGATAGTCAGATATTTTAGAAGCTTATTTCAAGGAGAGTCATGGAATAGACCCAAGCCTGGGGATATTAAATGGTTATATCCCCGATTCAGTCCCTCAACTTTCATTTTTGAACTAAAACTACCCTCGAACTTCAAATAGTACTAAAAAAATCCTTGAACTTCAATTTTTGGGACCAATTTCGTCCTTCCATCAGTTAAGTGCTGACATGGCAACATTTCCCGTTAACAAATTCAATTTTTATTAATATTAAATATTACCTGGAAATAAAATGAATGATGTGGCATTTTTAATTATAAAAATATGGTGACTTGGCACCAAAAATATAATTTAATAAATAAATTTTTTTTTCTTTCCTTTCCTTCCTTTTTCTCCTTCTCTTTCCTTTTCTCCTTCCCCTCCCCTACTAGGTTCGAAGGAACCCAGCACCAACGCCTGGGTTCCTCGAACCCAGGCGCGGGTCGAGGCACCAGGCGTGCTGGGTTCGAGGAACCCAGGCTTGGGTTCCTTCGAACCCAGGACGCCTGGGTTCGATGGAACCCAGGACGCCTGGGTTCGATGGAACCCAGGACGCCTGGGTTCGATGGAACCCAGGACGCCTGGGTTCGATGGAACCCAGCACGCCTGGGTTCGAACGTTCCTCGAACTCAGGCGCTGGGTTTGAAACCCAGCGCCTGGGTTTGAGTCGAACCCGCCTGGGTTTTTTTGTTCTGTTTCTTTGTTGGCTTGCAGTCATGCTTGAATGGGATTTAGAGTTTGGTGTGGTTTCTGATTGCTTGAATTTTCAGATCTAGTTACTGTTGATGTTGATTGAAGGAATGTGGTGTTTTTTCCATTTTTCTTTGCAGATCTGGTATACATTTGTAGAGGAATTGATTTTTTGAATCAGATTTATTGAGTTCTATTAGGGAGGAGGTTTGGGGAAGAAGTAAATGGTGATTGGAGTGGTAATAGATGATCGGACAATGAGGGATGACCGGAGGGATGACCGGAGTAACGAGGGATGATCGGAGTAATGAGGGATGACGTGGACTAGTTATTTTCCACGTAATTAAAGATTTCAAACAAGAATTGATTTTGTGGCAACTTAACGTGCCATCTGTCATTTCCGTCAACGGAAGGACGAAATTGGTCCCAAAAATTGAAGTTCAAGGATTTTTTTAGTACTTTTTGAAGTTCGAGGGTAGTTTTAGTTCAAAAATGAAAGTTGAGGGACTGAATCGGGGATATAACCTTTTTAAACTTTTACTGTTTGAGGTCTTTTTAAGATTAAAAAAAATTTTAAAATGTAAGTTTTTAAGAAAGAAATTTAAACTTATGAAACATAAATAGTATTAAAAAGTTGAAATACTTGGAAGCTGAACCAAACATGTCCATATTTAATC